GTTTAAGAGCTCTAAACTGAACTGACTGATAAGACGAGAGCTCTAAACTGACACTGAACTGACTGCCAAGCAATCAGTCAGTCAGTCAGTCTCATCAGTTTGGATTGATTGTTAGCAACTCTGCTCGAGATGCTCTACAGAGCACGGATTTCCAGGACATTATCATCGTCCCGAACATTCGGCAGGGCCCTACTGGTGCAAACTTGTACAACAAAACTTATCTGATTGATGAGACGAGAAACTTGTCGGCTGAGGGGATTCGCTTCCTCCATGCAACAGGATGGCACGGTACTGACCACCCACAATTTGGTGGTCGAATGCTCAAAAGCAGGGAGACCCAGAATTGGCAGGCGGGTTCTCGAACATACACTCGCCTTTGGCATGACCCACCAATACATGTATTGTCATTAGCTTTCTCCGCCCGCAATACCCATCCGATGATAGCGTTCGTTGTTCACATTGAGATGAGTCTTAGTCTCGCGATGGTTTGCAATAATTCGTCAGAGTATGCAGACGAAGATATGCACAGAGTCTGGAACACACTGCGAGACAGAGCTTGGCAAACAAATCCGGATAGAATGATCTACACGGAAGATGATGGTCGACGCATCGAGATCTCTATAAACCTGAAGGAGAAAAGAACTATTCACCATTGGCGGATATTCGGCATCGAAATCGATGTCGTCAGTAAGTCTTCGCTCGAAAGCTCAGATGGTGAAGACCTGATGGATGTATGATCGCCGGATCATCAATATGGTCGCGTTGCGCAGCTGTGATATGCGAGATGGGTGGAACTCACTAGCATCTCGAACTGATATGGGTCATCAGGGCTGAATACTGCAAGAAAACGTGCAGTAAGATTATTCATGGTGTTTTAGCAAGCTTTCGCGGAGTAGTCTTAACAGCTCAGCGCCGCAGCAAAAGCCATAGCCAGAACCATCGTAACACTCGCAGCAATGGTCCCCGCTGCGCCCGTCTCTTTGGGCGCTCCAGCCCCTGATGTACCTGATGCACCAACCTTCTGCGTCGCATTATCTCCGTTCCCAGAACTTGTCATGTTTGGAGGCGCGGTCTGAGAGAATAGCAAACCCTGCACCGCCTGCAGCGCATCATACACTTCATTCAGATTCCCGTCACTAGCATCAGCAGCCTCCCACATGCCTTCGGTGGAATTTGCCCAATCTAGCGAGCACTGAACGTTGTAGAAATCTCCGCCACACGTGCCGGCAGCAGCTTGAGCGGAGACTTCGAGCTTTTTGGTGAGGGGTTCTGCAATGATGGGAGCGGCAACGACTGCGCGAGCATAAGAGCTTATGGCCATACCCTTGTAAGCGCGCATACTGACATCGCACTTTCCGGTCGTTTCGCATGCTATTTCGGTGAGGACGTCGTGTTGTTGGAAGAAGATGGCAGATGAGTTCACGAGGCCTTGGAGTGCGTCAGTCCATTTCTGCTTGCCGTTGGTCTGTTGGCGTATGTCAGTATGAAGCCCGAGTAGACTGTACTAGGAAGTGCTTACGATGTTCTGCATGATAGCAGAGCCCTCTGTATAGGCGGCATGCAGGTTTGTCCACCGGAATCCGTTTATATCGCGACAATCGTCGGTGGCATCACCGCCGTCAAACACAGCATATTCGTCGTCGATAATACCAATGTCCTTTGCCCAAGTGAAAGACTTGTCAGCCCATTCGGAGTACGTTTCGTTGCCGGTAAATTTGGCCAAACGAGCAGCCAGGAGGAAAAAGTCACCGTTGGCAGCTCCATTTTTGTAATCGTATCCTGCCTGGAAAGTAAAGATAGTCCAGCGAAGACCACCGTTACAGCTCTTATCATCCCAGCGTAGCACCTGAGCATCGAACACTTGGGCAGCATATTCCACCCAGGATTGGTTTTCCGGCTTTGGAAAGTCTGATTCCGCGGCGGCCATTGCTGCAAGAGCCCATAAGCTTTGGTCATCGTTTGTAATTTGCGCGGTCTGATTATCGGGGAAGAAGGCAAGGCCAGGGTGGTCGCCAAGCTGTCCCTGAATGCCTTCAGATACAATAGAGTCATATTGCTTATCGCCAGTCAAATAAGAGTAGTCGATCAATGCGTTGAAGATCATTCCGCCTTCGTACCAGAAGTAGGGGTCTGGAAAGAGGCCGGGGATTCCATCTACAGAAAGGGAATCGTTGTAGAACTTAACGATTCCACCTGCAAGAGCCTGCGCGGCCAGTATGATAGAGTCTGTACACATTAGCATCGTAGTCGCGCAAGTGGAAAAGATCGTCATTACCCTTGTTCTGGACATCCAAGTCGAGTGCCGCGGTAGTACTAACAATGCATGACAAAGCGAGTGACAGCACACTGACGCGTGCGAACATTTTGAAAGACAGAACGAGTGTGATTGCGTAACGCAAGAGGAAAACAGAGTGGGAATGCAGCACTCTCAAGAACAAGAGACCGGAAAGCAGTTGACGATGTTTGCAGGCGTAGCATGACGCTAGTTATGTGGATCTCAGCCGCCTTACAGTGCCACCAATGGTTGTCTAACGGTTAGTTAGCGCAGAACGCCTGAGCCCAAAAAAGCTTGTTGCCATCTCGGATAGTAATTCAGGGGCGCTGCACCGGCCGCGCCGCCTAATACAGGCGTGAAGATGCCTGGCGATGCGTGTTGGAAGTGGCACGGTCCTATGGTCGTCAGGCGCATGCACCTCGTCTCGGAGCCAAGAGCTTGGGAAGATGGTAATTGACATTGGCAACTGCTCCTGGACTGGCTGTGCCATCTTTCGCTGCGCCTTCTCAAAGTCACGCAATTACCACAATTTGCTTACCGACCAATTCCCATCTTCGCGACTAGCGCCTCCGCGATATCGTGCGCAAATCCCTCATCATTAATCGCGCGCTCGTCTTCGGTAACTTCAATATTACCACCCTGGAGTTCCTCTCGTATCGCACTGAAGAGCGCAGCATCCGCCTGTTGGTCTTCAAAAGGCCCATCAGGGACAGCGATCATGCTGATACCACCCTTCGGTAACCAGACTTGAATTGCTCCGGGCTTCTTTGCACAATGCTTCAATTTCGTTGCAATAAATTTGCCAACTTGAGTTGCTTCGTCTACTGATGTCCTCATCAAGGTCACGACAGGATTGTGCTCATACAGCTTGCGATCTTTGTATCGTTCCGGCACTGTGCTTCTCGGACCAAAGTTTGTCATGTCGGTCGCGCCTACGGAGACGATATTTGGTATTCCGGCTTTTGCGGCGGCTTCGAGACGATGCTCACCAGCACTCATGACACCGCCGGTAATATGATCGCATATCTCGGTAGTGGTAAGATCGAGAACTGCATCCAGCCCACCTTCTTGGATGAGTCGTTCCATTGCTTTCCCGCCGTGACCGGTAGCATGAAAGACGTACGTCTCAATGTCGTAGTTGTCTTCGAGATGTTTTCGGATGAAGTCGACAGCTGGCGTGGTGACACCGAACATAGTAATACCAACACGTTTCTTTAGCAGCTGAGCTGCGTCTTGTTGGCGAGGTGCGTATGCGCGAGCCATTCCAGCTATGGCTGCTCCGGCATTGCTAAGCACATTGCGGAGCACTTGATTAAGGCCAGCCACATCTACAACGCTGTACATCAGGGTGATGTCGGTTTCCCCTACGATTGGCCCAGTATCGCCGCTTGCCACAGTTGACACGATCAGCTTTGGAAAGCCGATAGGGAGCGCAGTTCTCATCACTTCCGCTGCGAGCGACGTACCACCTGAACCTCCCGCGTTGATCGCGGCGTGTATCTTTCCTTCATCGAATAGCTTTTTGACAGCCTTGGTAGCGCAGCCAGCCATGGTCTTGATGACTTCTCCTCGAGGTAGCTTGCTCACATCTTTTGCATCTCCATGATCCTCCAGCAGTTGGTGTTGACTGATTGTGATGGCATCATACTCCTTGTGGCGCCGACCCACATCCATCAGCATCACGTCGACATTGTTCCGCTCTATTTCTTTACGAAGGAATAGCAACTCTTCCAACTTTGTATCGCAAGTACCAAGAAGAACAACACGGGGATTTGAAGACATAATGACGTGCTCACCAGGAGACAATGCGTTGATGGTAATATGAATATCGTGTAAAGACGTGGGTCGCAGACGTTCATGCCACTGTAATGTATCCCCCGCGCTTGCATTACGTCATCGTGCATACTTCAACAACCTTTCTCAGCATCATCGCTGTGACTTTAAGACAATATAATACCACATCCAATACCTGATCCGTTTACTCAAGGTCGATAGCATACCAAATTGACAGCATGTCACCCCCTACCGATCGCAAGAGCATATTGCAGAACCTCCGCTCGCAGATCGACAATGGCAAAATCATCGTTGGCGCAGGTGCAGGTATCGGATTGAGCGCAAAGTTCATCGAAGCTGGTGGTGGCGACTTGATCATTATATACAACAGTGGAAGATATCGAATGGCCGGCCGCGGCTCGCTAGCCGGCTTGATGCCGTACGGAAACGCTAACGATGTCGTGTTGGAAATGGTATGCGCGCTTCACTTGATGTTAACTTTGAAAATCTGTAGAAAGTGTCTAGTAGCTAACAATCTCAGGCTGGTGAAGTCCTTCCTATCGTCAAGTCCACGCCAGTACTAGCTGGTGTGTGCGCAACCGACCCTTTCCGGGATATGTCTCGCTTTTTGAAGCAGCTGAAAGACCTCGGTTTCGCCGGCATCCAGAATTTTCCTACCGTTGGTTTGATCGATGGAACATTCCGACAGAATCTCGAAGAAACAGGAATGTCGTATGATGCTGAAGTTGAAGTGATGAAGATGGCTCGCGAGATGGATCTCCTGACCACACCGTACGTGTTCAACGTAGAAGAAGCGAAGAAGATGGCAAACGCTGGGGCCGATATCTTGGTCGCCCATATGGGTCTCACAACGAGTGGAAGTATCGGTGCAAGCAGTGGGAAGAGCTTGGATGAATGCGTCAAACTGATCCAAGAGATTCGTGATGCGGCAACGAAAATTAAAGAAGACGTCATCATTCTGTGCCATGGAGGTCCAATCGCAAAGCCAGAGGATGCGGAGTATGTGATCAGCAAGACGAAGGGTGTGCATGGCTTTTATGGTGCAAGCTCAATGGAACGCTTGCCAGTCGAGGACGCGATAACGAACATTACGAAGACATTCAAGGGTCTGAAGCCTGGATCATCGGTGTAGTTTAGCAGCGAAGAAACACATCGGATGCTATTGTTATGAGGCGCTCGCAAACTTCGAGTGCCATGGTGTAGTACAGTGAGTCCAGAATTCTTTATGGTTACAAAGTTTAAACATAGTTCCATCTCTACAATGTGTAGCGGAAGTCGGGATGGCGATCGCCAAGCTTCCCAGAATCGATCTCTCGAATCCTCTCTTCGATGGACATGACTTCTCTCTTCTTGTTGATCCCGCGCAAAGTAAAGTACATCAGAGCGTAACCGCATGCCGCGATTGTGATAGTTGTAATCGAGATAGCGTGACCGATTACGTAGCGGCCATCGTTATTCGTGATACGGTAAATCTGCCCAGCCATGATGCCAGCAGAATTACCAATGGTTTGCTGTAGACCGATGGCGGTGGCGCGTTTGAAGTATCCGGCATTGCTGTTAATCACCCAGGTAACGTTCAGGCCCACGACACAGTAGATGCCAGTAGCAGTGACAAAAGTCGCGAAGTATAGCACCCCGGTCGATGACATAGAGACACCAAGCATCATGGCGTAACCGATCGATGTAACCAATGCCAAAGGAACCATAAAGAATGCTCGGCGATTGACATAGTCGGAGCAAAAGGCGATAAAGAGGTATACAACTGAGGCCCAGATGTACACAGGTACGGTGAGAAGTTGAGTGCGAATGCTGGAGTATCCGAAGCCACGTATAATCACCGGGAGAAACGTTGAGAAGCCGAATGAACAAGTATTGGCGCAGAATTGGCATACAGCGCTGAGCCATACCTTCGGATCGCGGAAAGCAAGCTTTACTTCGGACTTGTCCAAAGCGTCCGATGTCATGGACTTGCCCTGGTAAAGTCGTTCGTTCTCGTGTCGAGCGCGGAGCAGAGCTTTCTCGTCTTCATTGAGCCACCATGCAGTCTCGAAGTTGTCAGGTAGCAGAAAGATTGTGGCGATACCGACGACCATAGAGATGATTCCTTCAACGAGAAACAGCCATCTCCAGCCCGCAAGTCCTTTTGCGCCATGCAGGTTTGTCAGACCGTATGCTAGTAGTCCACCAAAGGCCCCACTTAGTGCAGATGCAACAAAAAGGTAGGAAACCCTTCGAGCTTGCTCTAGCGGCTTGTAGTACATGCTCAGATACAAGGTCAGGCATGGGAACAGGCCGGACTCGAAGACACCGAGGAGTAGGCGTGTAGCTATGAGAGAGGCATAGTTCTCAATGAAAGCTGCTCCAATAATGACCGCGCTCCATCCGATGATGAAGGTGGGGATAAGGCGCGATGGTCGCAGCTTCTTCAACAAGATAGAGGCTGGAACCTCGAAGGCAATGTAGGTGACGTAGAAAAGTGTTACAGCGACATTGAGACGGTTGCCAGTGAGCCCTAGGTCTTCATTCATACCTGCGATAGCAGCATTTCCGATATTGGATCGGTCGAGGTAGGCGACCTGAAGCATGCTTGTTAGACAGTGGAGTATTTGTAAAATTGAATTTAACATACCAGAAACACCAGGACCATCATGGGAGACAATATCAGATCCAGTTTGCGGATAAGCTATCCATCCAGGTCAGCTTGTGACACCCAGTCATGTGTGCTGCACCTACCCTCTTCTCCGCAACTGGATCGATATGAATCTCTTCGCTAGCACCAATCTGTGTATCCTTTTCATGTATTGAGCCATCGAGGGCTTTATCATCCTGGTTCGGATGCGACATGTTGCGGGTGATGTTTCCTGGCGATTGATTGAATGAAAAACTCACGCTGTGGACTAGCGATCGCACCCAAAGGCATCTGCCATGATGAATACCTTATAGCATGCATGTTGGTATGTAATGGTATCTATTGCCGATCTGTGCCTTGTCAATTGTCCGACGCGGGGAGATAGCGAGCCCTGCCAAAGTGGGCGCGATATGCAGCGAAGGATGCACTAGTACCCCAGGCAAGCATTGGCAGACGATTGACAGAGATACCCGTCGGCTAAATCATGAGTATCTTCGGAAATCATCAACATGATGGAATCGCGATGCGAGAGCGAGGTCAACAGAGGTGATGGAGGTTTGTTGGCCAAAAAGAGGAAGAGAGGTCGACAAGCTAAGAGCTGCGTCGCGTGTCATCGGCGGAAGCAGAAGGTGCGTGTGACGTAATCAGCTACCTGCGAGTTCGCGTCTGCGATAACGCGTAAGGTATCCAACAAGACACAAACCTGCAGACCTTCGCAGCACGCAGGGTGACATGATCTTTACGGCCAGACTGCATCGGCCAGACAGTGGCTGACAATGTCCGCAGTGCGACGGAGAGTTGCCATGCTTCAATTGCAGCAGACGCGACGTCGCGTCGAGCTGCACGTACAGCGAAGAGGCTGAGGCTCGCCGCCAGCAGACCTCACAAGTTCCCACCGCTCCTCTAGGCGATGAAACGTCAGGTAGCGTCACGGGTATGTCACTACCGCCACAACGTGTCGCACAGCAGAGCGCGAATGTCCCTGCGATACTCTCATTGCGCAAACTCTGGCTAACATACCACGAAGATACACATACTACGGCCACGCACAGTAGAACCTCACCTGAACCCAGAGATGCACAAGTGGGCAACCTCTTCCGCAGCCGAGACGCGCCCTCCTTCTTTGGCTCATCATATTTCGGACCGCAGGCGGCGGCAAAAATAATCGAGGAGCCCGCACCGGACCTCTCATCTGGAATTCGCCATGCAGCCGCTTCGGCGCAGTCTTTCCGAGATGTCGGCGGTCCCTTCTCGCAGATATGGGATCTGCTGGGCTTACTGCCTCGCAATAAAGCCAGTGTCGACCGCCTGGTACATGTTTTCCTTACCGAGCTGAACTGGACCATAGACGCTATTCATCCTCAATCCTTCAAACTGAAATACGATGAGTTTTGGGAACGCAAATTCGGCTTTGATGACTACGCATCTATCGATCTCAGGTGGTTGGCATTACTGTTTATCGTCCTTGCGTACGGTGTCTTCCTTGACTGTCCCCACCCAAAGAACGGCGAAGTGCAACGTGATCTCCAAGAGACATCATTACGATTCTACTGGGCTGCGAGACGCGCTATAGTCATTGCACCAACGTTCTACGGAGAGTCGACAGACCTCGTCCGTGCTGGTGTCTTGGTCACACGTTACTTGATTCATTTGCGAAGGGTACCCGAAGCTTGGCTCACAACAAGTTTCGCAATGCGCATGGCTCAAGCGCAAGGTATGCATATCGATGGCGAGCGTTGGCGTCTCCCCCGTAAAGAGACTGAAACACGAAGGCGCCTGTGGAATCATCTTTATACTTTGGATAAGACTATCGCTCTCGCCATCGGCCGCCCATTCGCCATTGTTGACCAGCAGTGTTTAGTCAAAAGAGCTACCAATGTCTGGTTGGATGATCAACCTGATGAGGCCGCTTCTGCCATCCCAGAGCTTCCGATCTCTTCGCCTACCTTGAGCGTCTACAACTTCCTCGCGCACGACTTGGCAAAGATCATCGGCGACATTCAAGATCGCTGCTTTGGCCTCTTCACCGTTTCTTACGACACGGTCATTTCGCTGGACCACGAGATTGTTACATGGGAAGCGAAGCTACCCGAATACTATCACTTGAAGAACCCAGATACTTCTATGGATCATGTACATCCGTTTTTGTACTGGAACCGCTTACATCTCCATTCCATGTACCATTTCGCCCGTGTCACTCTTCACCGACCGTATCTACTACGTCAAAGTATCACCAATCGCTTCAGGCATAGTCATGATGCATGCATTTCGTCGGCATGCGCTGACCTCGCAATGCGCATCGATTACTTTCAACAACCACTGAACGACCGCCTGAAGTGGACTTTGGGTCCTCACCAACTCTTCAACAGTGCCTTAGTGCTCGGTATCATTGCTGTCAAGGATCCACACTCGCCCAAATGCCGTGCGATATTAGAAGACCTTACTGCGTACTGTGATATGCAGAGAGCTGACATTTGGCTCAACGAGTTCGCGCTAGCTGAGGTCAAGATCATCGAGCTCTGCATCAAGAAAGCGGACCAGTTCCGCACTAGCCGTACTGAAACACGTCCTAATACAGCGAATGATGCTTCGGCTACTGCGCATGTTGCTAACAATATCGACTTGACATCGCCAAACACTGAAGATAGCTCAGCAACAGTACCCAGCTTACCAGCAGTAAGTGCAAGTAGGCCCTTCCAATGGCATGCACCTCCATGGGCAGACCCGTCTTTGACACTGTTTGAGCCTACTGATTTGCAACACTGGGAGCACGTGCTGGACAACATCACACAAGAGCAAATACTATTTGGTTTCCAATAGGATACCGAATCACAAATAAATTGGCGTGTCCCCTACAGGTTGAAGAGTGGTGTTGACATTCATCATAGCTACTAGAAGCTCCATCATCAAATCTTCACCATAACTCGATCTCGCTTGAATATCATCGCGGAATTATGTTTATTCGCTGTCAGCACCTTTTTTAGGCTTTCTCATACACGACTGGCGTCACCAGGCTTCCCATACCATGACTCATCACGATTCTCAGATCATCGCCCTGTTTGAGCCATACCTTTGGTACTTTGCTGACGCCAATACCATGCGGTGTGCCCGTCATGATCACGGTACCTGGCTCCAATGTTGTCCCTTGACTTAGGTACGCAACGATCTCACGTATGCTGAAGATCATATCATTCGCCAACGAGTATTGCATCGTCTCGCCATTCAGTACAGTCTTGAGCTCGATGTCGCCCGGATTCGATATTGAAGATGCGGATACGAGACAGGGCCCGAGCGGTGCGAAGCCATCGAAACCTTTTCCAAAACTCCATTGCGCACCGTTGAATTGGTGGACTCGCGCTGTCACGTCATTCGAACATGTGTAACCCAGCACGTAGTCCATAGCATCTTCTGTGCTCACATTCCTTGCCGATCTTCCAATGATTACGGCGAGTTCGGCTTCGTAGTCTGCCTGCCCATCGGTCGCTTGACGCGGGATGACCAATGGCGCATTAGGTGCACCCAGACAGGTTGCCGGCTTGAAGAAAAGGGTTGGGTGGTTTGGGAGATCCAGATTCATCTCTTTGGCATGTTTGCGATAGTTGAGGCCTATACAGCGAATAGTACCGACTTCGGTTCTTGACAGTGGTGGCAGCAGTCGTGATACTGTCGCGATCGCTGATGTTGGCTGCGCATCTACGGAGAGTACCGATGAACCGGTGAAAACACGTACTCCGACTTCTGATCCGGCTGCGAGGGCTGCGCCGACTGAAACTTATTAGCGAATGGCCTTTGGTGAAGACGAGGTGTTAGCATACCATCCAGTCCTGTGTCGAGCGGCTCGCCGATATGCTCAACACCGTCCTCGGCTGCCACAAAGCGCACCAAGCGACTCCAAGTCTACACGATAAAATCAGTAAGCGCTATGTAACCCTTTACATCAATCACATACCGTCTTCATTCCACTTGCGATATCTATCGAGCCCATGTTTGTGTGGAGTCTTGTAGAACACGAAAACAAGCTACGAAAGCGTGTATAATCAGGGTCCTGTGCCTACATCTCGGATACTTATTCCCTTCCAGTTCGCAGTATCATGGTTGATCTTATTGCCACGGCATGTATTGCCGTTGCTTATCGATCGGGAATTGTTAGACAGGCCGACACCCCTGCTCGGAGTGGGTCGATAGGACGTTTCCCCGCCAGTCCAAGTGCGTAACGTCGGATAACGTTATCTCAGGTCCACGGGTATCGCTATGGTCGCTGAACAATACGTCAAAAGCACCGTATCTTTGTTGGAATCCATGTAGACCATGGGTGAAATATTCACGAGAAGCTCGAGTCATTACATCGCACACTCGGCAGGACCATTACTTGAGCATATCAGGGTCGCCTTTCCCGAAATACAAAATTGACATTATATATCATATGTTGCGAAGCTACGCTATTCGAGTACGAAACCGCGTTTCCCTCTGCTCGAAACTCTGATCCATGCCTTCTCAGTAATCGAAGTGGCGTCCCCAAGGGCTCTTGTATCTCCTTCTCCTTCATTCTAGCGGTCGCCTTCGAGTTCTCTCTTCCTGGACGCTCTCATGGTGCGCGATTGTAGGTCTACTGGTACTGTTCGCGCTGGACCCCCATAATCTCTGGGTTGCCTACATGAGCCATTCTGCCGTAATCCGCCATCGACCGCGAATTGAAGTAGTTGATGCTTCGCTCTCCCGGAGGCACATTCGCCAGACTGGTGTCGATCGGCGGAAACTTGCTGCGGCGACCTAGAGCCTCATTAACTCGACCAGGAGTCGGCGCCTCGGCTGCCATACTGTCCGGCGAACCAGGGGCTGATCCTTGAGTTAGGAATGAGAATTGTACGGGTCTCTGCAGCCACTCATCCGGTCGCTTTTGTACTTGAGCCATATATCTGGACATTGGATTACGGCTCCTTGGCGGTGATTGCGATGGCTTTGTAGAAGGCATGCCAGCTAGGTTTTGCGGCTTGCGTAGCACGGTATTAGTCCGTTTCCCGAAGTTCAAAGGCTGAGGCCTGAGACCACGATCGGATAGAGTCGAACCGGCAGTATCTTGAATAATACTACCATCGTTTGAAAAACTTGTCAAATCCGACTGCCGATCGCTAGGCGGAGTCACTGCATCTCCATTCACATCCAAGATCATCGACTCATCCCATGGAGGCGGCCGCGTTGTCATCTGCTGAGTTGTTGTCGATAGTGGGGATGGCGCTGTCGATCGCTGTAACAAGGGCATTCTAGGTGCGATAACGCCAACAGTCTGCGACATCGGGTGTTCTGAACTTGGAGATCCTCCGGCCTCGGGCGTGTTCAGATTCGAGCGACTTACGTCAGGGTTTGTGACAAACCATTGTTGTGTTTGCGGTAACGGAGCGATGCTGCCAACGTCATTCTGGACTTCGGGAACAGAGGCTCGTTCAAAATCGCCAATCTCGTTGACTGTAGCATACTCAATCCTTGGAGAGTCGACCTTGAATCTCTTTCCTTTCCTCCTCAAGATCGCTGCCCGCTCCTCCCCTCGAGACCACAGTTCACTTTGGGTTGCACTCCTCGCCAGATTCTTCGCCGCACTCTTCACTTCTGCTATGGTTTTGAAGCCGATTGTTGCCTCTTTCATACCATTGGCAATGTTTCCGCCATCTCTAGTTGGCACATGCTGAGCTAGGGACAAAGATGACGTGGTATTTTCCGGAACTTTGTAGTTGTTGATAGTCACAGGACCATTACCATTGATATGATAATGTATCGAGAGTTGCTGTGGATGCGACGAAGCTACGGCTGCCGATACTACCGCATCGGCAGCGACTTTTGGTGGTCGACTTACAGTAGCAACGGGGGCTAGAGGCCGAGAATTTGCAACAGGCTTACGCGCAACGCTCTCACGCGATGTTTGAGACGAGGGCGGCTGACCAACAGACGATGCTCTACTCGGCAGTGAATAGAGCGAGAAGGACGTGGATGATCGAGATTCTTGGGCTTCTCGCTGTTGACTTCCATGGTACTCATTTCGCCAGGAGTCCGATAGAGCACGCTGCGGTTGTGCATGGAGTTGGGGCGATAGCGATTCTCGAGTTGTGATGAACGTGTCTCCAGTAGACACTGTAGCCGATCGATTCGGACTGTCGTTCGCTTGTGATGGTGGTGGATATGTGCCAGAGAGTCGCTCGCTGGATCTTCTGGTGCTTAAAGGGCGTCTTATGATCATCCTCTTCCCATATAGCATGCCAGGAAGCGATCCTGCCTCACTATGAGGTGCTGTACTGCCCGCATAAGACGAAACATATGCACCTGGTAATAATGGGGTACTACAGTTCGATTTCGGTCTACCCACCGCACCACGTGCTGCCGAGCTTGCCTGAGAAGGCGATGCTGGGAATGCGCCTGGGTATACCAAGTGGTTTTCGCTGATTCGCGAATCGCTCGGGGTACTGCGAGATACTTTGAGTAATTCCACTCTCCGTCCAGGGTTCTCTTCTTCCGTACGATACAATAGTGAACCCGATGAAGGCACTGATAGAACAGAGGGACCGATCCTGACTGGAGGCGAAGATAAAGTACCCGCAGTTGCTGGATGCGGAGATTTTACACTGGGTCTGCCGCCGTCTACAGTGAGGGTGGCCGGAAGAACAGCAGCGTCACTGTGTCGAAGCTCCTTTTCCTGACTTAGCAGTATACTAAGCCGCATATGCTCCTCTTCGGTCAAGTCGTTGATAGTATACTTTGCCAGGCAACGGGTAAGCTCTCCGGCCTTTCGTTTCTGCTCACACTTCACGGTCAGTTCGCTTTCAACGATGGCCTTGTCGATAGCCTCCTTTTGCTCTTGCTCAAGAAGCGTAGCTGTCACCAGGCTATCTAGAACGGCCTGCTCCAACTGTTCGCGCTCGGCTCGTTCAGCTCGGGCACGTTCGTCCACGCGAGACTCCAACTTTGCCTTCTGAAATTCTGCCTCTTCTGCTTGATTTGACTCTACTTGACTGACGGAAAGTGCAAGGCGGGTCTCCTCATCTTCTTTTGCGCGCTGACGTTCGACTCCAGAATTCGCAAAACGCCGTAAATCCTCGTTTTCAGCGGTATCTCGACTCCGCTGAAGGACCTCATCCCATCTCCGGTGAAGATCCATAGCCACATCCTCCGCAATCCATTGTAGATCTTCCGGCTGGTAGTCGCCATCGAATTCCATCGTCGAACGATATCCGACTTGTGCGATGCAGGCGAGTTCAGTTGGGTCAGCTGGAACGGTCCAGTCTGGCAAATGGATATTCGAGAACAAAATATGCTATGAGACAATGATGTAGAGTGTTGGAAGGTCGAGCGGTCGAGCTGGCAAGTTTGGGAAGACGTCGGGTGTTGGTGGAGATCGTGGTGGAGAGTGGCCGTCATGCCTGTGGTGTGCGCGGAGTTGGGCTAGTCATCGGTCGACTTACACTGGTAGCATCGCTGCTCACGTGCAGCTCCGAAAGGGGGAGTTCTGACATAATTTACCTACCCTCATTTCTTTCCCGAAAGGCTGCAATGAGAACCACTAGCGTAAATTGGTCACAGCGCTTCTTGGGAGTTGACATATAGAGCTCCACTAGATGAGTAGGCTGAATGCTGCGCCCGCCATAGAGTAATGTCACATATACAATGGCGCCAAGATGCACTGACTTATCGAATTGTGAAGAAAGATGGGTAACATACATTGCGTGAGACGTCGCCTTCTTTTATCAGAAGGTTTGCGTACCGATAGGCTTGTCGCTCTTTTTGTTCGTTTTCTTCTTTGACGCCACGAGTATGGTTTGCTCCAGCAAATACACATTGTCTCATTGGCGCGTCCACTCGCGCCTCTGCTGTGTCTAGGCATCTTCTCCCGCAGAGAATGATATGGGCAACATATAGACTGAGTATTCGTGAATGTGCGTAATGCATCGCTACAGTCCACATCCAGTAGTCAACACATCGACAACCTGTTTCCGAAACTCAACCATGCCTTCAGTCGGGTCATCATAATGCCAAGTGAGGCATTTGAGTACGACCTGCGCGTAGGCTTTTCCCATCTCTCTCTCGATGTCGATACTGTTCGCCCAATCTAGTGTTGCATTGTGCACACGATTAAAGAGATCTTGCTGCTGCGCTATATCAAAGATGGGAAACTTTTCTATACGGCGCGCGAAGACTTTCGCCATCGTTCGCCATAGCCCAAGCTCGAGAAGTACCACGCCAAGAGAGTAGATCTCATGTTCATTGGAATATTCAGACGATGGTCGGCCGAAGCGGTCGTGATGTCGGTATAGATTCGGCTCCAATGCGAAGTGCGTAGCGTCGAGAGGCTGGAGCACGCCCCAACCAACGAAGAAGGGGGACAACTCGAGGTCGTTCAAGGACCGTGGCATCATAGCTATACTACGCGACTGTACATTTCCGTGTACCCAACCAGAAGCGTGCGACTCAAGTAGTGTACTCGTAAGCGCTCTCGTTATTAGAAAACGGCTTCCTATCGAGGGTCTTGCGGTTGGACCCTTCGAGATCATGTCATGCAAAGTCGGTGGATTCGATGCCCAAGGATGACTTTGTGGTGCTCGGTAGATAATCAAACTCCTCGTATTCAGTGGATCATCGATGAAACCCATGCAGCTGAGGGTGTGCAGCTGATAGCCGTCTTGGGCATCGCTCTTGACCGATACATCAGTTTGATGAGGAGCCTGTAACAGCCACGTCAGATGACACATGTATTCAGCGGGCGTCTCGCTATCGGATCTAGGCTCAACCAGCACGTCCACCTCCTCACCTCCATCGTCATATATCGTCTTGATGAGGCTGTGTGATGGTTGTTCGGTGCTTATCGGGTCCCTCAGTGCGCCAACAAGCGCATTGTAATCATTCGAAGGCTCTGCACCCGCTCGGTGCTGGCGTTCGAGTTGTTCTGCTACGCCAAGGATGGCAGCTTGTCTCGTGCGACCGAACCCTGGATCTGGCGGACCGATACCAAGGAAGACGATTTCCAAAGTTTGTCGAAGCCGATGAGTCCATTGCAAGCAGTTTAAGGTGAGCGTGGCCATCTCCTCTTCTCCGAACAACGCCTTGTACAGCCCAGGTCGCGCCTTTTCGCGCCATAGTTGCGAACGCTCTTTCATCTCCTCTCTCCAGCCTCTCTGCTCATATTGAGCGTCCAACGATGCGGCGCGACCGCGCTTCAGATCTTCGATGCTTCTCTGACCTGCTCCAGGTATAGGGCTTTTGCCTATGTACCTCCATGCCTCTCGATGCGCAGCTAGCGACTTATTTAGCGAGTATAGAGAATACTCTACATCACTCGTCAAGGTACGATGCACTCGACTGTCGCGCAAGATTCCGGTCAGCTCACTAAAACAAACGTTCGAAAAGACATCCAAGAAGACGAGTGTTTCATTCAAGAAGTTTGTTGTGTGTGGTACGCTGCTTGCGTCTTTCGTAACATCGCGAATGAAGATCAGAGTTGCGCAAATGACTATGGCAGTGTTAGCATCCCATTTTGCGGTCGTGTGTTCTTTGTTTAATGTTTGAGTTCCGCAGGTAAAAAATAGCTTTCTGGTCCAGCAATGATTCGCACCGGGTCATGAAGTGCATCAGACTCGGAGGATAGCGGAGTTTTCATCGGATGTTGCAAGCGACTATCTACCAGAATACGTACGATGAATGAGCTCGAGGGATGCGTTGACATGATCCATGGTGTCGCAAGCTTTCCAGGAGTGGTAGACCTCAATACGCAGTCAATAGAACACGATGCAATTGCGGAAAGTAATGTGGGAAGTGCATTAGCGGCGGAAGCTGTCAAGATGGTGAGCAAACGGCAATGCGGCGTGCCATGGTTGCGCTAAGCCACCACATCGGCGTGATGTTCCAGCTAAATTTAAGTTGCCCCGCCACATTGCCGACATGAAGGGGTTGGATCATGACACAGACGAATTACTGACGCGACTCGATGCAAAAAAGAGAGTTTGATGGTAGAGTGGTTGGAAAGTGGGAAGTCTGGCGGCTTTCCAAGGTCGGGGCTCGAAATTACATGTAACGTCATTGTCCGTGCACAGCTCAAAAGACGCTAGCTGCCGAAGCAAGCATGTGGACCGAACTCGCTGTTCGTCTTGAGTTTCTCGCAGTCTCTTCTGTACGATAACGTACAATCTGAATAACGCGTTATAACCGATTACTAAGTTGTGAGCGCTGTATCATCTGAGATGGCCTGAAGAAACATGATACGACAAGGCGAAAATGTTGCGTCCTCTACCGTGTCCCACACAGCGTTGGTCTCCGGCACTTGGTCGGCTAGGCTTTCTTCCCTGGACGCCTACATCTAAGCTTTCGCAATCAGCTTCTCCCATCAAAACCACCAATTTTATCGAGGCTAGCTTTCGTACCACCGTCAATGACATATACCTAGAGGCGATCAGGGATGTACAATATTGAGGAACTCTCGAGGCAGAAATTCTGTGTCTAGCACGAGATCGGATCGCGAATAGGCTCTATGTAGTACGTTCTGAGGCAAGAGAAGGTGAAGGGTAGTAAACAAGGGACGTGTATGAGTAACAGTCAAGACTCGAGTCAGCAATGGATTATAAGATCTTTATCAAAAACCAGTCATGTCGTGATGTGTTGATTGCTGGGGTCAACAGACGGATGGGTCTATGGCGTCATGCGCTAAGATCGAATTCGAGACGTGACGCGAGCTGTCGGCATGCTGCAATAGCTCTGCAACCACCATGCCATCGACCACGCCCGTAGCTGCAACAGTTGTCATCTGCAAGACTTTGCAGAGATACAAGAAGAGTGTTCAAACTCAACAGGAACTCGCCTTCGACGATGAACCCGCCACGCGATAGCCAACAACCCAATATCTCCTTTCCACCCATGTCGACCCGCTGCGAACGCTTGCATGCATCCTATCAGAACACCGGCCTGCGTACATACACAATACGTAAGCCTAATGAGGTTTTGCGCCTCCGGGTGGTGGCAGCTTGCTGGCAATACGCTTGTCCTGCTCTTCCTTTGGCAACGTATCCCATTCAGCGACGTTCTTGTCCTTCGCGATATCAGCACAGATCTTGGTGTTATAATTTGGTTGCTGTTTGACTTACCCATTCTGCTACACACTCTGGCTTCCAATTACACTGTTCGACCTCGCCGTACATGGGGTGATTGCGTCGTGGATGAAGCGTTGGCCATCCCGAAGCATGATAGTGGTGCTTCACCAACGCACCCCTCGAGTCATGATTCCCGGAATCCGAGTGTCCTTGGCCGGCTGCAAAGGCTTCCACGTTCAAGACTAGGATTCCGTTGACCAGCCTCGACTCTGCCAAATTGTGGAAAAGATCCCAGGTAACCGGCTTCCCTTGGTTCTGTGCTGTCATCTGCTCCAGCACAGCCTTGGTAAATGCCGAAGGGCCCGTCCCGCTAATGACTTCGTCAAAGTCCAGGTGTAGTTGCGAGATCTCAACCTCCTTTTCGTGCGACAGCTCGTGTAACCAGACTTGTATGTTCTCGATGAGCCTCATCATCACAGGCAGTCTTGGCTTGGCGGCGAACGTCCACTGACAAAAGGATTTACACTTTGACCCCAAAATTTCGTGGTCAGCGAACGTTGGCTCATCAATCTCCACGCCGATTATCATGTCGACATCTTGCTCGTTGTACCGCTCAGGTATGAATCTGCTGATGGGACGAAGGCATTCTACGTCTATGTCGGCATACACGCCGCCCTCGGCGTACATGACGAGGTAGCGGAGCAAATCAGCCTTGATAATTGTTATGTTGAGCTCTCGGTAGAGGTCGACAAGGTCCGGTCTATTGATACCATGTGCACCGTAGTGCCATTCGAGGTACTCATTTGCGTTGTCGTCGGTCAAAACCTCGTACCGATATTGAGGGTTCTTTGCTGGCCTGAAAGGTGCGCGCACGAAGTCAATATACGTCTCACATGCAGTTCATAGAGGCGATTTCTTACCAGGTCTTCGCTGAGTCTGAGTCGCGCTTCTCGAAACCTAGGGGACCAACCTTCCATGTTTGCCAGATCTTCCTAGGAATGACTGCACCGTTCAGTTGCAGCGGTTGCTGGTACTTGAGCTCGCGTCTGTACTTTGAAGCAGCCCGGATGGGTGTAGTAAAAAAGTGCGTATTGGCGAAGAACAAGAATATGAAGAGAAGGGCAAGATACGCAGGCAAGACCCTTCGAACTTGACTTGTGAGCTTGCCTGAGAAATGCGATGCAATTGGGGAACGGGGAGGCATTGCGATATCAAGGTGAAGCTTGGGCGGAGGTTGCCTAGGTCGTGTGCGCATGCTGGGTTATTACAACGACCCAGGCCACTACGGCGACCCGACCCTCTCGAAGTCTATGAGGGATTAGCTCGTCTTGACTCTTCTAAGAGCCTCCTGTCATCTTCGCAAGCGGCCATTGCGCCCACCAATCCCCGTTCAACTATCATCCTCGGTACGTCGGTACAAATGGTTGAGACAGGGCCTGCCTCGTGGCGGAAGCTCGATAGCGCATGTGCGTTGCATGCCTAAGAGCTCATCTGCATCGTTGCGGCGAGGATGTTAGGTTAAGATGCCTAGGCTAAAGCTTCTCTAGACGATCCCTGCAAGTTGGTCGGCGGTTTCGACATAATCGGCACCATTCCCACTCAAAGCCCCGCACCAGTTATCGTCTGTCAGGGACGACCCAATAGGACTATTTACCAAACCGTAACTGATGAGCGCTATTGCGGGTCAATCTAGTCCATTGTCGGAAGTTCCTGCGGTATGCTATCAAAATCACCAACACCGTACCCCGCCTGCATGGGCCGTTCGACCTGGATGAGTGCTTTGTTGCATCTGAAAAGCTCTACACATGTGCTGCCTCGGTTGAGATCAGCTACGTGTACGATCATTTTGAGAAAATTGTGTTTCCTCCGGCCTAGCACAACCTCCGCGGTAACCGCTATCATTTTGCGTCCTCAGACCCTCACCACCCTGTCCAGTCGAGGTCGAATCCATCACGATCACTGCTACAGCTTCAATATCAGCCATGCCAACCACACATGGGGGACTCTTGGATCATGGCCGACTCGACGACGTCAAATTGTCACCAACGATATGGAAACCAGTCCGAACAGCAAGATGGAGTCTTAACATCGTGCGCCCGGAATTCTTGAGCTTACGCTCAAACACCAAGAGCAGCTCAATCAGACCGACAGCGTGGTTAGACGGTCTGAGGGGATTTGCAGCGTTCTTGGTATATCTGCATCACAATCAACTGTGGTCCCACGGTGGCAAAGGGAATCTGGTCTTCGAAAACTCGTTCGGCTACGAGGGAAGATACTACTCCGCAGCTTTCCCTTTCGTACGGCTCTTCTTCTCTGGTGGCCACTTCGCCGTCGCCATCTTCTTCGTCATCTCAGGATATGTCCTCTCGCTCAAAAGCCTGAGACTCATACAGGAGGGAAAACCATCAAGCGCATCAGAAACGGTCGGTTCCGCTCTTTTCCGTCGCTGGCTTCGACTTTACATTCCTGTCATCATTGTCACGTTTGCCTGGACGTCATTCCGACACTGGAGTAAACTGTCACTTGACATGCACGAGATGAAATCCACATTCCGCGAAGACGTCATTGTCTGGTACCAAACCCTCAAAAACTACAGCTTCGTATTCTCTACAAACATCTATGAGTTCACGGAAGCGTATCATCCTCATACCTGGTCAATACCTATCGAATTCAAAGGATCCATTGTCGTCTACACTACACTTTCTGCACTTTCGCGGTGCACACGGAACGCTCGTTTATGGTGCGAGGTGGCTTTGATCACATACTTTCTCTATGTGGTAGACGGCTTCTACGCAGCATTGTTCATGTCCGGGGTATTGCTCTGTGACCTTGAATTACTGGCCCAGCGGGACGAACTCCCGCGCTTTCTTAGTGCGCTGGCCGGATTCAAGGAGCTCATATTTTTCCACTTGTTCATCGCCGCACTTTACCTCGGCGGAGTACCGGCATTCGATGCGCCAGAAATCGATCGCACCGTTCTCATCTCCAGGTCGCCTGGATGGGTCTGGCTGTCACATCTCAAGCCCCAAGCTGTCTTCGACGCAAAGTGGTTCTACCTCTTCTGGGCTGCATCCTTCGCAGTAGCCTCGATCCCACGCCTGCCATGGCTCAAGCGCTTCTTCGAGACTGGTTTCTGCCAGTACCTTGCGCGCATCTCGTTTGCGCTATACCTAGTCCACGGGCTTGTAATATGGACCCTGGGAGACCGACTTTACGCCGCGGTTGGGCTCTCAAGGCCATTTCACAAGGACGGTATACCAGGATGGGTCGACAAGTTCCCGCTCCCCAAGAAAGGGCCTATGGGTCTTGAGGTTGCATTCTGGCTACCACAGCTGATCATTCTTCCCCTTACACTCTACGCTGCCGAGGTTGTTACGAAACTAGTCGATGAGCCCAGCGTCACATTAGCCAATTGGCTTTACAAGTGTACGGTCCGGCCACAAGTAACCCCGCCGAAGCACCAGCGCAGCTACTCTGTACGATAGAAATTTAATCAGTCTTGCGTTGAAGTTTTTTTCTGCGTCATCGCCTTGCATTGGACCACATGCACGCTTGCGTGCTCATCTCTTACTCGGCTTCATGTGATTTTACCCGCTCAGGGAATTCCCGTCACAACACTACTGCAGGTGCGGACAGGGTAAGGTGCATTATCATGGAGGCACAATATCTATTGGTTGTTCCGAATTGGAGCTTGCTCCGACACCGCGCCCCATGGGGTAATCTCTGGGCGCCTGGGCATTGAACGTTGGTCTTTGCGCGCCTGCAGATCGTTGTTAGCGGCAGCACCCGAAATTGGCGACAACGCCGCGTGATTATCTGAAGCCTTGCTCTCATCAGTGTTGAGGCGATGATCAGGTCATCGGCTTTGTTACCATTATTCAAGTAACACCTCCTCCCTATCCCGTCGTCGGCTTAATTATGACGTGGGTGTGTGCCCGAGCATTTCGACTATGGGTGCATGTGATATCCGCCCCTTCAAGGATTGACTAAAGGTTTGTCGCCAAATCTGCGTTGTGTCTCCGTACACATCATGCGACGCCGACATAATATTACTTTAGCAACACTTGCTTGTCTCGGAACGGTATACCTCGTTGCACAACACCGACACGAATTCAAAACCACGCCAGGGGGTGCACGCATCAGCGGAATTGAGATATTGCCGTCTGACAGGCTCACCTCCTCCCACCAAAACGATGGCGTCGTTATTCTGAAGGATGAAGTATCAAGCCAAGCAATACCAGAAGATGTTAGGTCGCCGCTAAAGGAAATCGCCGCTTCCGCTATTGGAGAGCCTAGTCTAGACCTCCAGCCGAGACCTTCCTTCGAGGAAGTCTCACAGTCATCAAGAACAGACAGCGAACCCGAGACGAAATATCCTTTCCAAGACGATTTACAGCTTGACCTACCTACCACCGTGCTTCAACGGTACTCGACACAAACGCCTCACAGTTACGACCTCGGCACCCCTGGAAGCTATGCGTACGCAACATTTCTTGCTACTCTTAACCCCTCTCTTAAAGATCCCTACTTTCTCGCTATTCATTCGCTTATCTATCGGATACTCTGGTCTTCCCAAACACGTAGCCAAAAATACCCGCTCATCGTTTATGTGGCCGAATATGTAACAGACGAGCAGCGTGCGCTCCTTAAAGGAGCCGGTGCACTAGTACGCGAGCTCTCACCTCTTCAATGGGAATGCAACGTCTCTGGCGTGCAAGACCGATGGAAGGATCTCTTTGCCAAGCTCAATATGTGGAAAGAGACGGAGTTTGAGCGCATACTGTTTTTGGATGCTGATGCGTTTCCGTTGGCGAATATTGATGAGATGTTCGACCTCGCGCCTAAGCAAGATTGCATACCGGAGAAATTGCATCTCGATGACTTCCTACCCGACGGGCCAGTTTGCGAGCCTTACATCTTCGCTGGCGTCGCGCAAGATATCTTCAATGCGACATATCCTAACGTCAACGTCGGGTCAATGGTCTTCACACCCTCCTTGCGCATGCATGCACGACTTGTGCAGAACTATGTCAAGACCGATAATTACGATTGCTTAATGGCTGAGCAGGCGTTCTTAAACTGGCAGTTTGGTCCGGAGAGCGCATATCCAGTGACAAAGCTGGATAGACAATGGGGTGGATTCTTTCCCACGGAGGACGAGGGCGATGGAAAACTGAAGATTGTCCATGAGAAGCTCTGGGTTATGAAGGAGGGATGGATGAAACAGGAATGGGAGAAGGGCTGGAACGAGATGAATGAGTTCTATGAGAGCGCTGAATTTGCCAAAGCGAGAGAGGAAGATGGTATGGTTTCTGGAAGCGATTAGGGTGCTTATTACTGTCACAGTCTTCTGTACTGCTTGATTGCCATCCTCAGAGTGTTTTCTTTTGCGTGTATTCCAGACCATCTGGGCGAGATTTATGTGGACAAGCGAGACGAGAGAAAGGAACGTAATTATATAGTTGTGTTGGCATGCATAGCAACGAGAGGGTGTTTCTGGAATGGCGTACCATTTATGGTCTTCATTCCAGAAAGGTTTAGACAACTATGGCCATGGTTTTGGTATCTTCAAGAAAGCATAGCATTATCGGATGAGGTTTGCTGTCCACGTTACTCATACTATACACGAAGCACCGTCTACGCACTGGCCTCTGCAGTGCTCTGCCTTTCGGCTATACTTCCACCCTTCCAACTTCCCTTTGGATCGACCTTGTTCTGCACCCTACTTTCGTCACCTTCCTTACCCCAGCCACCGCCGCCAGGTGTATGGATGATGATCCTCTCACCCGGCCGCATAGCTGCCGTATTCTTAGCACCCATGTTGATATATCTGTACTCCACGTCTTCTTTCGCTCTTGCAGCGTCCTTCTTCTGGGCCGCTTCTACTGCATCAGAAGTCCTAGGCGCATGTGTAGTATCCTCCAGAGGTTCTGTGGGGCGCTTGGAGTCCGAGTTCTGGTCAATAGCCTTTTTGTCTACTTTCTTGACCCAGATGTTCAAGCCACATGCTGCGTCGCCTCCTCCTTCCATGCCGTAGGGATGGTATACTCTTCGCTCGCTAAGAATGCTAACTTGGACGGGGATGCGGAACTCGATGTCGCGAATCACACCCTCACCACCAACGTGCATGCCCTTACCGGCACTATCTTGTCGTAGCGAGAACTCACGGAGCAGAACAGGATACCTTCGCTCGAAGACCTCAGAGTCGGTGATGCGGGTGTTGGTCATATGTGTATGCACACCGTTTGTGCCATTCCATGTTGAGCCAGCGCCAGATCCTCCTGCAATTGTTTCATAGTACCCGAAACCTTTCGTCTCTTTGCGTTCGCCGCTCTTATCGCCTTCTCCATATGTTGTACCGCCAAAGCCGAAAGTGAGGTTGTTGCAATCACCCTGACTCGCAGCGCAGGCCTTGAACGCCTTGAGAACTACGTCGGTAACACGCTGACTTGTCAAAACGTTGCCGCCCACAACAGCTGCGTTGTCGGATGGTGAGAGGAAGGACTTCTTGGGAATGAGGACATGGATCGGTTTGAGGCAACCTTGGTTCAACGGGATGTCCTCGCTGATAAGACAGCGCAGACAGTAGATGATAGCAGAGTAGGTAACGGCTTCTGGCGCATTAATGTTTCCGTAGACTTCAGGGCCTGTGCCGGAAAAGTCGAATACGGCCTCACCCTTCTCAGGATCGATCGATACCTTGAGCCGGATAGGGCTTCCATCATCCATGAAATCCTCTGCGCTAAGATCCTGGCCTTCAAAACGCTTGTAGACGTCTTTGAGTAGAGCACGAACAGATTGCTCTGCGTTGGCTTGGATGTTGGTCATGTAGAACTTGACAACTCGCTCGCCATAGTCCGACATTAGTGTGCTGATTAGGTTGATACCTTTTTGATTGGCGGCGACTTGTGCCTTCAGATCGTTGATGTTGTCACTGAGGCATCGTGTACCAGAGCAACCAGGATACTGACCTGGTTCGTCCAGAAGAAGCTCAGTGATGCGCTTCTCGTTGAAGTGCCCTTCGGATACTAGTTTCTCAGATTTGATAGCCGCACCTTCTTGGTAAAGCTCTTTTGATGCAGGAGGCATAGAGCCGGGGAGTATGCCTCCAATGTCGGCATGATGCGCGCGTGAAGCGACGTAGAAGATGATATTGTCACCACTAAAGGCGGGCGTGATTACAGTGATATCTGGCAGATGAGTGCCGCCGAACATAGGGTGGTTCGAGACGAGGACGTCACCCTTCTTGAGTTTGCCCTTCCAGATGGCGGCTTGTTTGCGAACACAAGTTGACATGCTACCGAGATGTACCGGTAGATGAGGGGCTTCACTATCATTAGCCGGGTTCGGTCACTTTAACAATCGACGTACCGTTGGCGACAAGTCCACCATTCTCGTCAAACAGCGCGCAGGAGTAATCCAGCCGTTCCTTGACGTTAGTGGAAACACTAGTTTTCTGGAGTGCGCGGCCCATCTGCTCAGCAATGGCCATGAATCGATGCGCAAAGATGCTGAGCAGGATTGGGTCGACCTCTTTCGTACCAACCTCCTTCTCTTGGTCTTCAGTCTCACCAATGTTTATCACCACGTGGGTATTGATGACAAGCGCAGTAGCGCCAGGTGTCACAACGATAGTCTGCGTACCATCCGCGATAATTGCTGGCCCCTTCAATCGATCGCCAACTTCCAAATCCTCGAGCTTGTAGACTGAAGTGTCTTGTCGGCCACCCTCAAAGAATACCTTGCGAGTGTCGTAGCGCTTCGTGTCGCCTGAGATATCTTTTGGCTTGATCTCTTTGAGTTGCTGATCTACGCTCTTTTCGAGACCTTCAAATGTCTTGCCGATGCCACGAGCTCGCACATCATCTACAATGATATCGCGATCAGGTAAAGTGAAGCCGAATTCTTGTTCATGCTGCTTGACGAAAGCCTTGCCAAACGCCCATTCATCTCCATCGTATTCTTGCTGTGCCTCCTCCTTAGTCGGCTTGATAATCATGAGGGCGGATTCTGTTCCTCGATATCTTAGATTGAGGTACTCCTCGAAGTGGACATGCTCCTCGTCAAAGCCCTGATCTCTGAGCGTACTTGTCGACTTGCTCTTCAAATCTGCCATCTTGTTTTGCAAGTACTCTCTTGTTTCCTTCTTGTCCGACCATACGGTAGACTCTGGTTCTTGCCTCTCATCAACAACGTCGGCAAGCGCCATACCATATGCAGAAAGAACCGACGAGTAGCGATGGATCAGAATCTGCGAGATGCCAAGAGCTTCGGCGATGGCCACCGCGTGCTGACCACCAGCACCACCAAACGTCGCGAGTCGGTGCTTACTTGTGTCGTGTCCACGGGCTTCGGTCAGACTGCGAATAGGTCGTGTCATGGTTTCATTCGCAATCTTGATGAAACCGTTCGCGATATCGTCCAGCGACATTTCTTTCTCCTTGTTGCCGCCTGCGACCTCTTTATTGATCTGCTCCGCCAGCTCCTTGAACAACTTCTCGCTCGCCTGCGCATCGAGCCCCTCGTCTTCGTTCTTACCGAAAATCTTAGGAAAGAAGTCTGGTAACAAGCGTCCAAGGAACAGATTCGCGTCTGTGATTGTCAACGGACCGCCCTTGCGATAACAAGCTGGACCTGGATGTGCGCTCGCAGACTCCGGGCCAACAACAAAAAGTCCATTTCTCCAGAACAGACGCGATCCACCACCAGCAGCAACAGTATTAATATCGAGTTGTGGTGATTGGATGGTGACACCGGCTGTCGTAGTTTCAAAGACATGATCGTAGCGTCCAGCGCCGTATCTGCTCACGTCGGTACTAGTGCCGCCCATGTCGAATCCAATGACAGGAATCTTGGTTTTCGGATCGTACGATGTGAGCGCATAACCAACAACACCTCCGGCAGGACCTGAAAGGATAGCTTTCAGGCCTGAGAAGATGTCGACGTCAACCAGGCCTCCATCTGACTGCATGAACTCGCAGCGTGCGCCTTTTGATCCTTCCTCGCGTTTCACGCTCTTAGTGCCAAGGCCGCCCTCGAAGCCTTTGGAAAAGCCATCGATATACTTTCGTATCGCAGGGGTGAGATATGCGTCTGCGCAGGCCGAAGTGGCTCGTGGGACCAGCTTGATCATAGGCATGAGCTCGTGACTCAAACTGACATGCTCAAAGCCAATCTCCTTCGCGATCTTTCCCACCAACGCCTCGTGCTTTGGGTATGTGTATCCATGCATCAAACATACCGCAATGCTCTTCAGTCCACCATCGTAGACCTCCTGCAACTGCCTTCTTATCGCCTCTTCCTGGGGCCGTTGTAGGATGCGCACCGTCTCACCAGACAAGCCCTTCACCAAGTCAGCATTGTCGCCAGCCTCTTCTATGCTCTTGGCCTGTGTTTGGTTCCTTTCTGGATCTTCGGCGTAGTCTTCTAATGTGACGCGCTCATCGATCTCGACAACCTTCTTGTACAGCACCTCAGGCTTCCGGATGTCGAGCGCGAAGATGTTGGGCCGACTCTGGTTTCCAATCTCAAGACAATCCTTGAAGCCCTTTGTGACGACCATGGCAATGTCTTCGCCCTTTCTCTCTAGAAGCGCGTTGGTCGCGACCGTGGTGCCCATGCGTATGCTCTCGATCTTGGACGTGTCGAGCGGCTGTCCACGGGGAATCTCGGTTCCAGTGAATTTGGAGAGGAGGCGGCGGATGCCTTCGAGCGGCGCGTCATCGTAGTTGGAGGGGTCGACGGAGAGCAGCTTGATGAGGATGTCGTCCTCCATCTTGCCGGTGCCAGGATTGCCTACGCAGTCGGTGAAAGTACCGCCACGCTGCACTGTCAGCTATCGCCATGCGTGTATGTTTTGGTGGCATACATCAATCGCGATGCGGATGCCCCGCTCGCTAATCTTTGGAGTCGCCATGTTGATGGGGGCTGGTGAAGCTCAAGGTGCTATGGCAGAGCTTCAGGAGGATAAAAGCATCGGCAGACGCCAGAGGAAACCTCAGAGTGAGCAACAAGTGAAGTGAGGTTTGTACGTGACATGATGCAAGCCACACGCGACTGCATGCACCACCCACGAGAATCGAAAGTGGGGTAATCTTCCCGTTGCTGCCCCGCGACATCGGGGCCCTTTTGTCATCCATCTCATCTGCGTCACCTAAACTCCGCGGCTTTCGCTGCCTTAGGCTTAGTGCGCTTGGTCATCATCCGACCACCTATACGGCTGCTCCCGTCAAACCACAATCGGAGCGTCGTCAACCTTCTCTGCCGTGAGAGCAAGGTTCGCGTGGCTGCGACGTCCTTGGATACCGCATTGTCGTGATAAGAAGTGGGACAAAACAGCGACACCCATCGCGTCTTGGTCACGAATTCGCGTGTAGCGCGTCTGCGTTCCGAAAGATTACCTTGCCTTTGATCCCATCGTCCACCCGGCTCAGTCAAACGGCTGTATCCGTAGCCGGCTTCGATAGCATTCATCGGGAGTAAGAAAATCCAGAAATGAGGAGCGCCTCGAAAAGTCAGCAATGTGGACGCCGCGAGCTCGAAGTCATGGCTGACAAGCTTGCGGGCAACAAGATCAAGGCCTCAAGCCAGGAAGGCTGGAGAGCGCCGGGAATTAAATACTACAAAGTTCATGGTCAGCCACACGCGTTCGAAGGTTTCCCCACCAAGGATGTTGAAGCAGAGAAGGCAAGAGTAGCAGCGGCAGATGCTATGCTCAGCAAGATATCAGACTGGCTAACAGACACTTTTTCCAACGCCCACAGCGGCTAGCATGTATGGGGTCGAAGCACTGGATCTCGCGAGGGTTTTCGAAGCCTATCGATCTATCTCGTTCAAGGAAAAAACCTAAAAGAACCACCAAGCTTGTTTGATGTCCCATGTCTCAACGAAAATGGAGTTCTCTAGCAACTCGGTTAAGTTGCCTTCTGCCCAGAGCCTCGATATTCCTGGGCAGCAAAAAGTCAAAAAAAACATACAACAGCGGGGATTCGCTAGTGGTCACCCACCTAACTACTAATCCGCCGGTACACTGCTTGTATATGGCTGAGCGGACGGGAAGCCTAATTTTCAGTGTCCTATGGTCGTATGTGC